TCACGGAGTTGATTAGCAAAGCAATATTATCGAACCTTTTCGTGTTAGAATTAAGAAATACAACGACGTATATCTTAAATAATCTTCACGTTAATTTCACGTTAATATCGGATTTCATTTTAATCGTACACGTGGATCGAGGATGCGATAAATTAGTCAAAGTGCAAAAAGATCGAACATAGATGGGGCAAAGATTATAATCTGTTAAACTGTCGCAATGTAGATGTTAATTTCGAGATAAAAGGCGATCAGTAAGCACGAATTGTTTTACAATGAGAATTCTTCCGTTAAATACGTTATTTGCAATTATTATTTGCATTTTAATTAACCAAATAGAGTACTTATTTCTTAGATAACGTTATTTATATCTGTCCATTGATAATATAAATACGAACAATGACGTCGACTCTCACTTTCTTCTTTAAAAATCTTAAACAAAATCTTAAGCGTAGACGATTACCTAACATTATCAGAACAGAGAGAATTTTTAAACATATTTTTCTATTATAGGTAAATTAGGGGAAAAATTAATTTGTAAATAAAACTACCTTTATTTACTACGTTATTATAAATAAATCATTTAACCTGCGGGTTTTAGTTCACATAGAGAAGAGTTTGAAAAATTTTGTAAACACGAACTTCTCAAAACTTTTAATTAATATCAGTTATGTATGCATGGTAACACGAGACTACTAAGTTAGTGGTACTAACAACAGCGCACTATTTACTTCCAGAGTTTCTGCATGATATGTTCAAAAGTTATGTGATAATTTTAAAGTTAATTCGTTTTTAGCGTACCTTTTATCAAATTAGAATCGCACGGTATCGACGCCCGAATACGACCAATTATTCTAATATTAGATCATTGCGTAATAAATGTCTCTTTTCGACGAGGCTCCTGTTCCAGTCATTTTTCAATTATAAAATATCTGACACTTCTTTCTACTTATACAGGGTGGTTGGTAACTGGTGGTACAAGCGGAAAGGGGGTGATTCTACGCGAAAAAAGAAGTCGAAAATATAGAATAACAATTTTTCGTTTGAGGCTTTGTTTTCGAGAAAATCGACTTTGAATCTTCGCTCGGTACGCGTGCACTTTACGTCTCGTTATAACGCATCTCACTGTAGATCGTTGTCTCTATGGAAAAATTAAAAAAAAAAAGAAATTTGTATTCTATATTTTCGACTTCTTTTTTCGCGTAGAATCACCCCCTTTCCGCTTGTACCACCAGTTACCAACCACCCTGTATAAGTAGAAAGAAGTGTCAGATATTTTATAATTGAAAAATGACTGGAACAGGAGCCTCGTCGAAAAGAGACATTTATTACGCAATGATCTAATATTAGAATAATTGGTCGTATTCGGGCGTCGATACCGTGCGATTCTAATTTGATAAAAGGTACGCTAAAAACGAATTAACTTTAAAATTATCACATAACTTTTGAACATATCATGCAGAAACTCTGGAAGTAAATAGTGCGCTGTTGTTAGTACCACTAACTTAGTAGTCTCGTGTTACCATGCATACATAACTGATATTAATTAAAAGTTTTGAGAAGTTCGTGTTTACAAAATTTTTCAAACTCTTCTCTATGTGAACTAAAACCCGCAGGTTAAATGATTTATTTATAATAACGTAGTAAATAAAGGTAGTTTTATTTACAAATTAATTTTTCCCCTAATTTACCTATAATAGAAAAATATGTTTAAAAATTCTCTCTGTTCTGATAATGTTAGGTAATCGTCTACGCTTAAGATTTTGTTTAAGATTTTTAAAGAAGAAAGTGAGAGTCGACGTCATTGTTCGTATTTATATTATCAATGGACAGATATAAATAACGTTATCTAAGAAATAAGTACTCTATTTGGTTAATTAAAATGCAAATAATAATTGCAAATAACGTATTTAACGAAATAACGTGTTAGAGATAAAAGAGTCGATTTCCTACAACCTTTTATAGAGTACATATTCCTAAAATGTAGTTGTAAATAATTTTAAAATATTTGTAAGGTATGTATCTTACAGCTGTAACGCGAGAAATCAAAAATAAAATTCAACAGTTAAAGGGAGAGCAAGAAGAAGAAAGAAATGTAAAAATTTCTATTTTAATAAACTTATTTTGCATTTAGAATTAAACCACGTTTAAAGATTTAATTTGTTCTATCGAGAACATTACGCGTTTTAATAGTACGTGACTACCGTGCCATAAGTTATTTAATTAAACTTCTCTGTAATTTAGCAAAACGCGGCAGAAAAAGAAAGAACAATTTTAATTAGAATTTACCATACTCATAGTTGACGATACAATGCAAAACATTTATACAATCTACAATACACAATTAAGACGATATACACTTTTATCGATTAAAATATAATTATTTTTTAATTAAAATCCTGTCAATGATAAGCGACACGCAGAATCTATCCGATAAATGCCAAAATTTACACCTACATAAAGATTACATATATTCTACTAAAAAGCACCAATGGAAAAAGTTACGCTTATCGTTAAAAGTATCAAAGCATTCGTGTTCAACCTAATCAGGGTTATGCACCAAATGCTCTCATTTGGTACTCCAATAATGGAAAGTATATGCCATGAAATTCAAGGTGAATCGATCGAGGCCTTAATACGTCCGAATTATTTAATCACGTTAATTTTAATCAAATTAATTAATTAGGGTGTCCTAAATAACTTTGACGTCCCCATTTGAACGAGCACACGGCTGATTAGTTTGAGGACAAAAAAGAAATGATATACGCATGACACACAATACATGGTTAAGCCTATCACATCGATCGTCCACTTCGTTGCTGACCAGTGATAGCTAAAGTAAATGTCAAATCCAATTTACGTCTTTCGATTATTTCCATCTTAATTCGTTTTCGGGAATAGTTAAATATATACAACTAATAACCAATGTATATTTCGTTTTCTATGTGCTTTAATTTTCGTATTTAAATTAAGTTGTTTATTAATGCGTTAGCTCTACGGAGCAATATTTCTTATAAAACCGTATTTATTATGTGTATCGAATTATTTCACATGACCTTTATCTATGTTATATGTGTTTAATATCTTCGAATTTGAATTTAATTCAATAATACTTCTCCAAGAAACTAACCTTTCTAATATTTTTTAATATTACGAATTCGTTCTTATTTCCTAATAAATATTAAGTCTATTATAAATATCATAAATGTGAGCAGGCTATTTGTGAAATCAAGAAAATTTATAAAAACGTAATATTTCTATGCAAAAAAGAACCCCAAAAAATTTAATAAGTATCAGAATCTCATTACTCCCATAATTCCATGTAATCAACTAACGGTTTTAAATATGCCCTCCCTTTTATTCATTTTTATTATTGAGATAATATATTTTATATTTCAAACGTTAATGAAATGCAGACATCACGAGTAGAGACACGATTAATTGTTAAGTAGGTTACATGTGATATGCATGTCCATAAATTAATGTACAAAGAAAAATTGGATTTCTAAAATCACATGGACCCTCGTACACTTGTAGCTCATACAACGATCTCATAAAGTTTCGAAAGAAATGTAATGAGTACACAATCGCGCAAACTACTTAACTTTGGACAACCTGTCCTTAACAACTGTCGAGATATAAACATTTACGCGAGAAAAGCTTCTTATTTCATAAAATTAGTTACAGACGCTGCCAAGCCCCTTATTACAAGCTTAACCAAAAGGGAGGTAACTCTCGTCTCATAAGAATCGAAACTTAAACGTAGAAAATATAATTGCAAGCAACAGAAACACTCACTCGTCAATTTCCTCCTCTTCTAGTAGAAGACTCATCTTTTCACTTGCGTGACTTTATTCACTGTAGGTGTCGACTCGAAGAACAAAGTTCAACTCAATTTACTGTAGGGGTGTAGTCCTTTCGATGATCCTCCGCAGGACTATACTTGCAGAGATGATAACGCTGTCGTACACGTTGCGCGCGCGCTCTTTCTCCTCACCGCATCAACATCCTTTTCACAGTGTGACATTTTCGCCTTAAGAGAATGACGTGATGTTTGAAAATGCGCCGCTAGGCGGCCCGCTTTCTCATTGGCGCACGTAGTACGGCTACATTTTTGTGCGCCAATTACAAATCTCTAATAACTCACGGCTAATATATAAACTGCGGATTTTCATGCACATGCGTACTTTTATAACGCTAATTAAATAAACGAAGTCTAAGTAGAAATCTATTACATCCACTGGATATTATAATAACTATTATGCTTTGGATATTTTGCACTTATATTTTTATATTTTTGCATATTATGTGAATTTTAGCAATTGTGAATTTCCTATAAATCTGCAGTTTACTAATATACTACCATTCTGTTTATGTACGAAGATGATTTGATTATATCACGTACTTTAAACAAAATTTATGTAACATGTAGAACATATATAGCATATAGTTAAAATGCTGCATAAAATGTGCTTGTTAATCATTTCTTACACAGATATAGAGATTAGAACATTATGTTATAAAATTTGATCTCTTTTTCTTATAAAAATATCGTTACATTAATAAAATGGTAATTTTTGAACTTTCAAAATAAAGATGCTATTATACACTACTTATTATTTGATATGTAAAATGTTATCTACTTTTTAAATAGCAAAATTAACTATTCAAATCAGTGAATGATTAAAGGAATTATTGTTAACCAGTTTAATAGATTCAAATAATTAGAAACGCGAATAACTACTACTTTTTTTCGTCTAAATTTGATTAAATTCGTTAATTAAATTAAATTCGTTGAAATAATTCCTTAAATAAGAAGTGGTATAGTAATTTATAATAAATAAAATGAATAAAATTTCTATTCGATTTGATTGTTATGTATTATAATAAGATTATGTAAAAAGCGGTAATAAGAATTTCACAGTACATTCTTGAACGAAAATATATTTTTTTTAATAAACGGTAACAGCTCTTACATAACGAAAACAAAATATAACTTAATAAACTTTAAATATAACTTCTTTATTAGGGTACATAATTAAACACTTTTTCCATATAAACAGGATCAGGGATTATTATTTTACTCAAGGATCACTATATTTTCAGGTAAATATACGAGGTAAATGCGGTATCATGCATCGATATTACTGTCACAAACTGCGTTTATTTTTATCATTAATGTATATTATTTATTATAAATAAGTTAGAAACATTGATTTCATTTTGGGCGTGGTAGGTGTTTACATTTTATACACACAGAAAGAATACTCAACATATTATGCTTTCAGAAAAATGTATACTTTTGACAAAAAATGATTTACAAATGAACTATAGCCACAAATTTGCGCGCCACTCGCACATTCTTGAATCAGGCGAAAGAAAGCCTGTTCGTCTCAATCAATTTTTATCTTTTGTTAAAATGTTTCATGCATTCTGCATACATATCATACATCTAAATTCATTCTCTCACTCCCATTCTTTCTCTCTTTCTCTCTCTCTCTTTCTCTCTCTCTCTCTTCCTCTCTCTCGCTCTCTCTCTCTCTCTCTCTCTCTCTCTGTCTCTCTTTCACCGCTCTCTCCCTTTCTGTCTTCCTTTTTCTGACTCTCATCCTCCTCTGCTCCCTCCATTTCTCTCTTTCTTTCATTTTTACTACCATTTGTCTCACTTTGAATACACATTTATTTCTTCTCCCTCACTCTCTTTAATCACACACTCTCACTGAAAACCAAGCAGTATTATTAATATTATATTATTATTAATATTATTATTATTAATATTATTATATTAATATTATTATTACTAATATTATTATTATTATTCAATATTATTTGTTATTATCTCTTAATATTATATTTTATTCAATGTATTTATATATTTTTTCTTTCATATAAACTCAGTGTTTCAACCAAAGTGGGTATGACATACGCTGCCCAGTGTGCGTGAGGTGTTAGCTGTATCAGGGTTAGACATTCAGGATATATGTGTCCAGACGTCATACCCTAATTCACTGATTTAACCAACACCATAAAGTTTATTGTGCAAGTACTCTCTAGGTTTGTGCAAAGCAGTTTCTATCACCTTTATACAAATATTCTTTCGGCAGAACATCAAAAGGTGGCACAAACAGCAGTTAATTGAACCATTAGAGAATACAAGCAGTGGGCAGCGCGCTAGCCAGCATGAGCGAGCGCAGGCAGTGAGCAGTTCATACATACATACACTGTAATCTGGATACAATGCGAACTAGGGCCATACGTTCTTAAACCATGTCCCTAGATGCGCGATGCTGTGTCAATAAGCGAGGGCCGGATGAAAGGAAAACCAGTGTTGTAATTAAGACTTTTACGTCGTTCGTAAATTGCAGACTTATAACTGTATGGTATGAGATCGCAGCCCTCACGTTTTTTACACAGCCTACGGAGAAAAAAGACAGCAGAAGAATCTGCAACCTTTCACCTCCTAAATTACCTAAAATCACATCAAACAGATGTTTTCTAATAATTTCTTAATATTGAAGGGTGGTAAAGTTTCCTTCTTGTTGGTTTTATGTTGCTTTCTTCAATGCTAACCTATGTTTCATTTTATATATTATATATAACAATATTTATACGATGAATTATGAATTTGAGTCACATGCAGAAAGAACTTTGACTTGCTTCTGGCACAGATAAAAAAACACTTTGGCTTTTTGCATCTAAGAAAGGACTGCAATAAAAACACCACACTAGTAAATGGCACTAAAATTGCTCTCACTTGTGTCACCGACTACTTGTGATTAAAAAGCATTTGTCCTTCTTCTCTTCAGTTTCTTGCTGAGATCTCTTGATTTGAGATGAACACTTGGACAGACATTTTATGGCATGGCTGCACTCTATCTTATACGTTTATTGATGTGTTGCTCGTGGTATTATTATATAAAAATTAGACGATTACGCAGTCAGCCAGGCATGATTGACTAAACTAATCTATAAAAAGGTAATAAATTCAACAAATAGAGTACGAAACTAAATCAATTTGTTGGTATTGACAGTGAGAAGGTTAGGAAAGAACGTATAACGCTCAGATTTAGGTCCATATTTGTTCATCGCTGTTACCTCCGTTATAAATTTTACTAATCAATAGTTGGTACACTTGTAATGGAGCAGCGACAGTACGCTGATGGCACCACAAATTACTGTTCATTTTCTGCCTTTTTCGTCTTTCCCATTTCTAACTTAACAGAGTTCACACTGATACCTTGGTCAGGGTATAAGAAAAATTCTTGAGTCCATCCTGAATTTTGTGTATTGCCATCTAAACCAAATTATACTCTTTTAAGTTTAACTGCAGAATGGTGTCTTTCACTGCTGCAAATACAAATCTGATGTTTTCTGTATCTGTAAGAGAAAACAAGTGTAAACATTTATAATTTATGAACTTGAACAACAATAATGTAGTTAATCAGTTAATTAAGCAAAAAGCATTAGTGACCATTAAAAATCGTTTAGAAACGTTGAAACTTTGAGTAATTAATATCTTTCATTGAATAGTAATACAACAGTATATGAAAAATCAACTTACCCTTAAGTGAAGGGTGAGAATAAATTTGAAGTTCATACACATGCAACATGCAATTTTTATCTTCTATGTATAAAAATTCACAAAAACACTGACACATATATGATATAATTTATATTATAGGAATCATTAAAGAAATTAATTATATTGCAGAATGATATATTTAAATTAAATAACTGAAGCACATAAATTTATAACAATCTCTATAATCCTTATCACTGACAATTGAACATAACAAATTAGAGAAGTTACAATTAATTGCAGAAATTTTATAAAAGTATATATAATAGAAAATAAAACTATATATGTAATGCAATAGTTATCACATGCCATTGAAGAACAAAGTATGTTCCACACTCCCACAAACGTGAAATATACACTGCTTGAAACAATTAGGGGACTGCTCTTACAAAGTATTCTGTTACATCGATCAAGCAAATAGAAGTAAAGAAATCTTCCAGGCTTGATATACTGAAATGTTACTCGTATGATTCTGTGATAAGAATTGACTTTAAGATAATAATTAAACAAAAATGTACAGACACAAAAAGTAGGTATAAAGATCAAAATGAGTGGTATATCATCCTTTAATTATTTTCAGCAGTGCGTTATTGTTTTACACATTTAACTGTGCTTTGTTAAATGAATTACAGAAACCTGTTATTGAAAGAATGCATAACATTCTTTAGTAGCATTTTTTAAAATAAAATAAATTTGTTTAACTAAATTTAGAAACTTAAGAAATTATTACATTATGATCAAACAGTATGTGCAAATAAATATGGTTTGTATAACCCATGCATTAAAACTTTGTGCAGAGCATAGTATTCCTTCCAATGACCTTGTAAGTTTAGCACTTATGAATTAAAATTAAAACCAGTTATGAAATTGATCATACTAATCTAAGTTCTGTTATATGGTATTCTGCACGATTAAAATATATTATATCTTATGATAACTGTTTTGAATTTCGTTAATTAAATAAAAGTACTTTCTTTTACTAGTGAAATAATATGGTATTACTGAAAAAAACTACTTTAGTCAATCTGTAATACTAATAAACCAAATATTTTTTTTACTATGTTTCACTGCATTTCACTTCAGTAACAATTGATTATTATTGATTATTATTGTTGAAATGATTTATGCGTGAACAATATTATGCAGGGAACAGATTGGCAGTCTCAAAATTTTGCACACAGAATATGTTACTCTATTATTACTTCTGACTTTCCAACACATGACTAAAGATTAATAGTCATTTTGTAAAAAATCTGTATATATTCGCAATAAAAGAAACACATTGAAGATCATATGTAAATGCAAAAATTGTCCTTTAGGCAAGATTAAATTCTTTAAGTGCAGTTTGCATAATTGTATCTTTAACGGCACAAAATACAAGCTTAATGTTTTCCGTGTCTGATGAATAATCCCATAAGCGCAGCATGCAATAATAAACCACATTTTAATGTTAATATCAATTTAAAACAACAAATCAGACAGAAAATCAATCCAATAGTATGTTTAGATTATTAACTATGATGATTAATAAACATTCAAAAAATAGGTAATTAAGAAGTTTTTAAAATTAAATTGCACAATAGTATTAGTTTTGACACTATAAAATAGATTGATTTTCCTGAAGTAAATAACCATTAAGATAAGAATTACGCACCTGCTGTAGAATATAGGCAACATGCAAATTATCTTACACAACATACATAATGTTAAGAAGCAAAAACAAATGCACATTAGCATCAATTACTAACAGCCTACCTGTGGCACACGTAAAGTGTGAATATATAATCTTCTCAATATCTGGATTCAATTCGACAAACATCTGTAAAATGAATTCTCTAGCAGGTATGGCATCTCTTTGTGGGCCTGTGAAATATATAAGCAAGCATACGAATTGACAATTACTTCTATTTATATTTATTCAAGCACATACTATCTTTTTTCTCCCAATTTAATTATGTAATATCAGTGGGATATTATTTTAAAATCTGATTGAAACCAATTCAAATATTAATTAATATTAATAACATAAAATTACAAGACTTATACTACCTATAATAAAATACTTTTAGAACACAAAAATATAATAATAACAGAAAACTAAAATTAATATCAATTATTTTACTACAATATATAAACTAATATATATTAAAATGATATGTAAAGATTAAAGAGAAAATTAGATACAGAAGGTAAAAATTATGTTTTCATGGAGAAAAAAAAATTTTTTTTTGAATGTTGAAACTATTATCAAATCCACTTTATCTGGTTTACTAAATCAATAAAGTTTATATCCAAATCCAATAAATACTGAAGGACAAATTATTCAATTAGCTCTATTAACTCTCAAAGAAACCTTTTAAAGCTATTATCAGTCAAATACAAATCTCTTATGTAAGTTTAATATACGTTTTCATTTTATCAGATTAAGAAAATATAACACATTTTAATTAGATTATTTAAATTAGATCTAATTAGATACGCCTGGAAAGTTCTAAGGAATGTTTATGTCAAAATGCTTTGAAATCAATTGTAAAGTAAATAAATTTCCCTAAAGTAAAGCTAAAATCTCTATTTATGTATGTAAGTTGTTCTGGTATGGTTTTATGGAAAAGTTGTATCACTTATTATTGATAAAATGAATGAAAGGTAATGTCGAAATACAGAAAATAGCTGTTCTATAATACAGAAAGGGTTAAGCTTTAAGGATACAGTTACAACTTTATGATGTATAGTTACTGGCTCAATTTAGAAAATTCTCTACAAAACATCTACAATTTCTGCCATGATGTGTTATATTTAAACAGACCTGTCGCACACGTGAAGTGAGAGTAGCACATGCGGTCAGGATCAGGATTCGTACTGAGATACACCTTTAAGATGAATTCCCTTGCTGGTACATCTTGTTGTTTAGGGCCTATACCATACAACTTGTTCACTTACTAATAATAAACTGAATAGTATGCTCCAGAGTAGTGCGAAATAATTCTAAGCCTGATTCTCTGAACGTATTGACAATTCATCCGAAGGTGTTTCATATTTCACATTTTATGATATACTTAATAATATTATGATATTATAACTTCTATATTACTTTAAGAGATAAAGAGTCAGTTTTATTAATTTTAATAAATATAAATAAAATTTTTAATAGAAACACAATATTGACTGAATAATTTATAAGAAAGGGAAAGATATAAATTTACTAAATATTTTAGGGGTAATAAATATATAACTTATACGAGAAGTATCAGTACGAGTAAAAAATATTTTTTTCAATTGATTCGAAATGTTATTAAAGAATTTTCACCAAGTTATAACCTATCTATACCCTACTGAATTAATCGTTTAGAAATTATTTCCTTTTCTATTTTATTTGCGAAAGTTTAAGTTCTCTGCGATATATTTTAAAACATGGTAATTCAATTTATTTTTCTATTTATTAAGGATAAAATACTATATGAAAAGTATTTCCAAATCACTAGTAACGAATTATAAAGATTTAATAAAAATGAATGAAAAATCAAATACCTATGTATAATGTTGGAATAATTACATTAACTAGAAATATAAAAATTAAAAATCTATTTGCAATGTTCAATAATGGAATTGTCTGCTGTGTTTTAAAAAATTAATTCATCTTCCTGGATAGAATAAAGAAACATAATCATTTCTGAAGATAAAATTCATTCTGAACCGAGTATATTAAAATTAACAAAGATTATCAACCTTTATTAATAACTTATTGAATTTTATTATGTGTTTGTATGAGAACATTTTATGTAAAATCACATCTCGAATCAACTGGTAGATTTTCGTTCACACATAATGAACAATAGTAAACATCTAGTATGTTACATACAATGTTGTACGTATCAATCTAAAGATTCACAAACATTAATAAGTTTAATGTTGTGAATGTTGTTATACAGTATAATTTCCAAAAGTAAATATTAGTATTATGTACCTACCATTATATTCAGGAAAATAGTCAACAAGATGAGAGTACATAATCTTCTCCTCGAGCAGATCTTTCTTGTTTAGGAACAGAATAACAGAAGACTGTTGAAACCAAGGATATGTAATAATTGTTTTGAACAAAGCCTTACTTTCTTCCATTCGATTCTGGAAAATGGTAATAACAAGTTAGAATGATATGATTCAATTAATGATATGATTTATATGGGTAAACTAAAAAATAAGAGAAAGATATTGTAATAGTATTTACCTCATTTTCCGATTCAAACAAAATTTGATCATATTCACTTAAAGCTACTAAAAAGATGATAGAAGTGACATTCTCGAAACAGTGGATCCACTTCCTTCTTTCTGATCTCTGTCCACCAACGTCTACCATCCTGTAAAATATACTTATGTAATATTGTTCATCTTTTCACTTATGACTTAAATATTTGCTACAATATTAATCAAACTAAAGCGCAAACTGTTATCCGATATTTATCAATTTGTTAAGTGCAGTTTGTAAATAATTCCTAATTTCACATTCAGAATTTAAATTACTCGTACGATTCATTAGTCAAATGTCAAATGTAATATTTACAAAATGATATTTCCTGAACAGAAATTTCATGGAAAAACATGCAAACAATGAGCTATTTAAAGCAAACGAAGGATAAAAATTGAAGAGAAAAAAACAAAAAAAAAAAAGAAAGGAGAACGAAACAGGAAGAATCAGCTATAAAATATGTAGTAAATAACATCCTGTTTTTTTTTTTTAATAAGAAGTTATCTACGTGTTCACTCACCTTGTCAATTTTTTAAGGTACATATAGTAAATATTACTATTATTACGTTAAATTATCAATGATAACTTATTATTAATTACCTGCTACTTCTATTTTACCTCTGTAACTTATAAAGTCTATTTCCATACGTGATAACTTACGTATAAGAGAATATTATTTACATTACAACAAATCGCGATAATACTTAAGAAACTATATACGATCGAGAGAGAAAAAAAAATGATTAACATAAATAAATGGTATTGCGATAATGTACAGACAAAAAATACATGACACGATAGGAATAAAATAAAAGTGTCTACCCGTATTAAAAAAAAACTCACACAGGTATTTCGATACTAATCCATTACTCCAGGTTAGTACGATACTAAGTTAGTATAGTATACTTCTAAACGTATAGTCAAGTTCAAGTAATGTGTGTTAGTACCTAAATATGATGGAGTCCAGATCAAACGGATATTCTATAATGCCAGTAGTAGGAGCTCGAGCCCGAAGAATGTCTTGTTCGGTAGGAAGGAAGTCAGGCTTTTCGATACGTTCTAGGTCACTAAGATAACTGCAAAACAAACGAAGCCACAGTCTGATAGTGCATGCCCATGCATGTATTAAAGGTGATTACGAGGAGAGGAATATCGCAAAACATTTGACACATGCTCGTTGTCCCCAGCCTGTAAGAATTCTCTCAAATGCAAAGTTCATTGATTTATTCTTACAGTTTTATGACACAGTAACTGACAGTGGGACAGTTTACATTGTTTACCGCAAAGCTATTATGTTCCTTGTAAATAAATACGATTGATCGAGAGAAGACCGTGTGCGTCCATACTCCGCTGGAAGAGGAACACCTTGCGTTGTGTCTTCTCTCCGCATACAGAGCACGAAATTTTCTCGTCGTCGCGAGAGACGAAATTTCGTACATGGGAACTTAGCACCACGGCACGTCATAAAACCGGAGGTATCAATGGAACTCGCGACACGCCAGTGAGAAAGGAGAAACGAAACGAATGATGGATTCCATGTACAATGAAATCGGTGAGTCACAATACATGCAGCCACGATGCAGAAAGAGTCCAATGTAAGTAGATCACAGGCACAGGCAGCGTCTTCCTTTGCATGGCGAGACATACCTAAATCGAATTTCTTCCAAGTCAAAAGGATATTCAATTATACCAGTAGTAGGCACTCTCACACGAAGAATGTCCTGTTCTGTTGGGAGGTAGCCCCTTGCTGCGACTCGATCTATCTCCAATAGGTAACTGAAACATCATGTTCTCAATACCTGATACATGGAACATCTGGCATTCCCAAATATTATAATCTCGTTCAACGAACAAATATCGAATCAACCAGATATCGAGTAAACCATTCACATGAGTAAATGGATCGCTTATTAAATAGAAACCTAGCAGTCGGTGCAAACCTTCAACGTTCTATCAAATATTTCTTTACAACGGATTCTTCATATTTAGACGTTACACGCGTTTAACGTTTCACACAGGCCTGTACTTGGCGGCTGCGTATTCGACTCGTTTAGGGGCCGACACGTTGGGACTGCTAACCGAACAATGACGTCGAGTGGAACGAGATGAAAAAAAGATACGCTCTCCTCAGGGGCAAGTAGATGGCAAAGACACGTCCAGACGGTACTTACTACTTAGCGGAGTCTGTGAGCTGATATTCTCGCCTGCGGTCGTAACACTCTTGGATACCACTATCCGCCCATAAATCTTTGATTGCTTCTACGTATGGACTTTCAAAGGTTGTAACTGTCTCGAAGTCCACGCTTCGCACGAGTTCTGCTTTTTCCTAGGATCGCATGGAAACAACACATTTTTCAGTTGCACTTGGTTACCATAATTAACACGGGTAGAAGGGAGCCCAGGGTCACCGATAAAAATACTCACTATATTCGCAGATGAGGCGTACTGGATCTTGAGGAGGTCCATCGCCCGGATCATGGACTGCATGGCCATGAAAATGTTTTGGTACACGAGTTTAATGAACCCCCTCTTGTCATCGTCCGAGTAACCAGACCCGTGGATGATTCTCATCTGTTTAATGAAGGTGGATTTGCCGGATTCACCAGTACCTGTAACAAGTTTGTGAATCATTAACGAGCGAACGTTGCCGAGGTAATCGACTTTTTCTGGGTTACTCGTACTTTCACGATTCGGCTTAATCGACCGATGAATTTATAAATTTCATTCATACGTAACGAAGGTGTTCCATCGCGTGCGTTACGTTTGCCATTACGTATTATTAGGATAAATCGGCTAAAGCTGTGTATTTACTGGAACAAATGTTACCAGATGGTACGTATGTGTGAAATCTGTCTGTGAAACGTGCGATGTACCAGTGCTGTTTTGTAGCGGTAATTGCAATCAATTTATTTCTTAAGAAAATAATCATTTTTCTAGAAATAAGTTTCGATAGAATGTAAATACACCGTTGGCTATTTTCTACAAATGGCTTTCTACTGTTTTTTGTTTTTTTCTCTGGTTACTTTATTACAAATTATCGTGTCGTACGTAATACTAAAGGCACTAAGTAAGGTAAAGTTTGCCATTTTTCAGCAAATGTACGTATAACGATTAGGTGTCTTAATATTTACAGCCAACAACGTACTGTGATGTATCTTTGTGGTCAATTTGACGAATCAATTTAATAAATCAGTAGATAGATTCCATCAGGTAATTAGGAAGTTAACCAGATAATTAGGAACCACAGTTAAAAATTTCATTCGCCTATTTCCACGGCTATTTATAGAAATATCATCTTGTAATAATTACGAACTGATAAATATAACACTTACAATCACAAGCTTTTAAGACATTTTAATTTGAGACGTTTCCAAAAAAGAGATCCATCTTTTTTCAGGATTATTCGATATTATTGGTATCCGTGTAGCAATTCAATCGAGAGTGCAATTATTTAGTTATATCAAAAATAGCAGCACCTATGTCAAGTATTTTCAAATTTTAGAGTGTCGATCATCGACTGATGTCGTAATAAATAATCAGAGCAGGTTTTACTACATTTGGCTACGTTCCTTTCAGAATATTTAACGTTACTTTGTATTCTATATTTAAATAAAAAATCCTATATCACGTAGAGTGCAGAATATAAATAAAAACAAAACACTAAGATTAAGTAACTTTAATTTTTAGATCCAATTCCATGGCTGGGTTTCGTCTCGTTCAAGTTATCTAAATTCAGCACACTTGAAACGTTTCTTCGGGTTTTAAGCGAAGTTAGAATTCTCTTAGCCATTCTTTGTTATTTCTTCAACTAAAAAGAAAAATGGTTATTAGATAACGTTCTATTTCCAGCGTCGACCTTCTCTTAATTATTATACGAATTCTCTAAGCTAAGTCGACTTTTACCTAACTTTCGGTTTAATCGTAGCGAGCAAATCATCGACCGTTTTTGTAAACATTCTAAGACGATTTTTATATTCTTTTTTATGTCTTATGGCCAGCTTCGGATATTTTTACGATGTTTTCAGGTATCCATTTTTTATTAAGTATCAGTCGAAGCTACTTGCCACTCGTTACTCAACGATTCCGAGCCGATTAATATCGATGTTTACGTAATCGAGGCTTTAAAATCGTTATGCGTGCCGAATTTTTTCTGCGAATGCAAATCTAAGGTTATGTAACGAAAGGAGCGTAAAAAGCATAAACAAAGAATTTTGGCGTTAACCAATAGGTTACCAATAGCAATTAAAGCAAGTAGCACGGTACTGCGTGTTAAGTGACGATATTTGTGCTCGTACACAAGCAGCGTTCAACAATCAAACACGTAAACTCAATTATTATACGCCGCCACACTTTGTCAAATAGTGCGTCGTAAACTGCATTAAAGCAGAATCGAATAATTTGAAAATATCATCGATACTTGTGCGATCAAAGAACGAGAGAAAGTATCGATTGCAACAAAGCGCTGGTGCTCGCTATTCGATAATTAATACAGCGATCCAGTTACTCATTTCTGCCTCGTATCTTGGTGTCTGAAAGGGAAACAACTGAAAAATAGGTAATATTGAGTCGTCCTGCTTCTATGTACAAACCGTTCCAATGACAAATATCGTATTACATTATCACTCGTTAATAGAATACGGATGTACGGCTGTCTACAAACATTACGAGTTATTAACGGTTGCGTAAGTTACTCGGCGGGTCGCATATTAATACTTGCATTTGCATGATCCGCGTTGCTCGGTTCGTAGCAAGAAACGGCCAAAGTTCCCGTGAGAACACGTGGACGACAAAAGCCGGCCCAACGATTTTCCAAGCGACAGCTACGCGTATCGAGAATCGAATCGACGCCGCCGCGTGTTTCGAGTTGGCCGACCTCCGCCGACCTCCATCGCTCGTTCGACAATTTCCGCGCAGCGGCCGATGCGCGCCTCGTGCTTTTCCGGATCGCCGGCGGAAGCATACGAACATCTACGACGAAAAACCGAACCGCCAACCCGAAATGGGAAGTGACACCAACACCAGGGACGTACCATCGTCTGTCTTCTTCCCTGTATCATTTCATATCCGATTCTTTGAATTATGTGAAATTTCATAAAAATATCGGCTCATGTCCTTATTTTTCAACAGTATCTTTTCCTGTCGGGTCCAGTCTGTATTTTGGCCATACGATAGAGTATAAAAATGACAGGAAATTTAACGTTAAAGTTTTATGTTGGTATATTATGAATTTCGGTAACTTTTGCATTGAGACAATCTTTTACCGGATTAGCAACGCTCGTTTTGTAAATTTACATTTCCTTTTTATACTTCTCGTTTTATAAATTTTCTTCTGGTCGCCATTGTACTAATTTCTTCTTCTCTCTGCGTCTATTTGGATATTACTCGGGTCTAATTAATTAGTATGTAAATGCTACAATAAATACTATGGTGTGGTTTTGCGGCCACCGTGGATAATTACGTTAGTACATTCAATCAGAAATTAACATACGGAATCACTTTTGTAAAATATTTTTACGTCATAATTGCAGTTGGAACTTTCGAAATTTATTATATTATAGTTTAACATATTTTCTGTTGAGTTTACTAGTTTCAGTTAATTATGTCTGCGGAATATGCATTTCTCTTTAACACAGCAAAAACGTAGTCAGAGATTTTATTAAAATTTTAATTAAAACGTTTCGTTATTAATTTTTTTAACTAATAATTTTACACGCTTGTTGCAACGATTTTTCTACGAATTTGCAAAACTCGCGCACGGCTACTATAAGAATAAAAATTACTTTGCGCTATCCTTTTTTTGAGGGGCGGGGGGTTTAAGTTTCAAGCAAAGTCTTCATATATGTACAACGAAAAATCATAGTGACGTAAATAAACCGTTATTTAATATTACAAAATAATGTTCTGTGTTTATCATTATACAAATTTATATTTTTTTCAGGTCATAAAGACGCATCGCGGCAGAGAATAAAGTTATAACTAACTTAATTATAAAAGTAAAACCACCATACTTTTAAGAGCTGAAATACACGATAAAATTCTCAATATTTTCATTTACATCGTTATGATTTTCAGCCTGTCATATACTGTTCGAATTTACTTATTAATGATAATAAACACCTTCCAATACATCGATAATGAACAGAAAATTACACGTAAATCGTTGCGGAATAATTTGAAGGAGAGAAGAATCCAACGAAAATTCAGCGAGGACTCTGCAATCGAATTAACACGAATTTCAGTCGAACTTTCCAGTCACAATTCCGCTGTAAATAGTCGATGCTATGATATCTCGCAGCCGCTGCTATAATGGAGCAATAATTCGCTCATAAACTAACACTATCAGCCGTTGCAACTAGTATATACCATTTCTTTTCCTCTTTCTTGCTAATAATAACGCCGACATTAAATAGGTTGCAAGCCGATTAATTCGACCCTTATCGGATCATACGCTCGGAAGTGTGCAAATGAATTTTTTCCGCAAGGAGTTGCTCGCCATTTAATCGAACCGTGCTTTAAGTGAGCTGTTCGATTTGATAATCCATGAAATTATCCTTGTCATTCTCGTTGCAGATTGTCACCTGTATAAACTGCCGAACCGTTCGTTTACACCTTTTTGCTCTTTATCCAAGTTAGCTGAAAGCTGGCCATCGAACTTTCTGCAAACGTTTCTTTACTTTGTCATCGCTGGTAGCTTTTCATTCGGATAATTTGAACCAGTCGACTCGAGCAAGACGAAATATTAACCTTTGACTTGTAGCTATTATCGCAGATATTAGCTAAATGCTAAACAGCAATTTTTCAAATCGACCTAATCAAACCAATTTTAACCACCACGAGGTTTTCTAAGACCACGAGGAACTTGGATGTTTCTTAAAATCCTGCAGTCACGTTCATGCTGAAGATTGTAACGGAATTCTATCTGATAACAAAAATTGATGCGAACTGTAACTTTAGTTGTAATGATTCGTTAAATTATAGAGAACCTTTTGTAACCATAGAGTCTGATTATACCAGCCTCTGATCCCGAGCAACTTGACTGTAAATACAAGTACGTTACATGTGCTTGTTACGTGTACACCGAACTATATCTCAACTTACAATATTTACTTATGTTTGTATTTATCGTGTTAGATCATTAGGTAAACGTATGGAAATATTTACACTATGTTTCGGATTTATTTTGCCACGTGAAATTATCTTTCACCTGGTTGTATCATCAACCGAGTTTCTCGGAAGCCAAACCGATCAACTCAACTCTTTATCAGCCTCGCAATTATGCTACATACGTGTACGCCTAATGTTTGCCTTTTGAAATAAATTACTCGTTTCCATAAGCTGATTCATTGCAAGAAGATAACGTAAATGACAGCAAAGTCTAAGGCAAGATTTAAAAAAGTAGTTTAGCAACATCACTTTCTTGGTGTTGATCAATCTCGTTTCTCAACATCTCGGTTGCAAGACACTGTGCATGTACAATGGCTACAAAGATTACTGCGCATACTATTGCAAATACTATTCGCACAACATAGCATTAAATATAACATTTACATAAATTTCGTGTTATTCAATGTTATACAAATTTGACATATGGGAAAGTAAAACGCATGTAAAATCTATTTAAAAAAATGCTT